ATTTTAACAAAGAAAAAATTATATTTTTTTAAATAAAAAAACAAAATTTTAATCATTTTGTTTAATTAGCAAATTTTATTTACTTAGCTAATATAGTTTTTTATGATAAATTAATGTAAAAAATAAAAATATAATAATACATGGTATTATTAAAGGAAAAAAATAAAATTAGAACTAATTAAATAAGTGTTAATTAAAAACTGCGATAAGAGTTTAAAAATTAAAATGAATAAATTCATCACTAAAATTAAAAAACTTTTTTTTTTGAACAGGTTTAGAATTTGGGAGTGGTGGGCGTCAACCTTTAGGTTAAGATGATGCATCTTACAAGTCGACTTATAATTGTTGAGCCATGAGGTGGAGATGTAAAATTAAAAAACTTTTAACCAAAAGTAGTTTGGTATAAAACATTATATAAGGAAATTTTTTTAATTGGCTAGTAATTTTAGATCCTAATTATTAATTTTTAATTTCAAACTGTTAAATAAAAATTTTTATTTTTCACCAAAAAAAATAAAAATTTGTATCAAATACTTAATTTATGATAATTTTAAAATCAATAAATTTACTAAACACATATTTTTAATAATATGACGAAATTACTAATGGTTACCCTAAACAATTATTATACCAATCCGCCCCTTTATCTGATGTTACTTTTTATTTGTGACCATAATTTACTTTTAAATGCATTACGATTGAATTACATAAGGCAACTACTTGGGATATAATATCAGACACAAATTCCCGTGCACAGCACCCTTTTATCTCGTCTGTTCTAAATTTTTTTTTTTGAAAAATCTACATTTTGAAGAGGCAGAATTTTTTCTAAGTAATTGATAAAGTTAAAATTTTGACTAATAAAGTCAAACACTTTAAAATTTAAAAACAAATCATTGAACGTGAAGAACCGATCCAAATGTTCCAAAAATTAGTCCTAACTTCGTACGCAAGTTGCCAATCGGCTCCAGCCTGGAGGACTGGGAGTCTTCTTGATGGACTTCTAATGTTGCGGCTCAAAACCGAAGGGAAGGCAAGGATAATGCATTCATTTCAGCCCAAATCTTGACCAGGTGACAACTGACAAGTTATAGGTTTAGTTTAATAATATTGTTCTATAATTATAACAATTAATTATTAACAATTTGTTAATCTAAGTAGAAAGAGTTTGATTCTTCTTAAATAAGATCTTGAGTTTGAATATTGTAAATGAAAAAATAAATATTAAAAAAGCTTCTTTTTTAATGGAGTTTGAGTAACTCGATTCTGAATTAATTATGATCTAATGTGGTTATTGTCTTATTAGATACTGCCATACTAATAGGTTAATATCAAAAAATTATAATGGTTAATTTTTTAATTTTTTAATATTTTAAAAATATATAAAATATATTTAATATTTATTTTAATTAATATTTTATATATTTTTAAAATAATAAATAATAATAAATTTAAATTTTAAAATTTAAAACATTGAAAAGTAATATTAAATGAAATTATAGCAGCCTTAAGCTCTTGCCTTTTTTTCTTTTTTATTTTTATTATAAGAACTATTTAATATATATACTTTTTTTCATCTAAAAAAATATTTTTTATTTATAAATTTATTTTCAATTAATTGTTATTTTTTTAAAATAAATAAATATTTTTATTTTATTTTATTTTATTTTATTTTATTTATTTTAATTAATTATTTTATTATAAAATTTTAATTTTATCTTTTAACTGTTTTTTAAAATAATATAAATATATAAATTATTTATAAATTTTTAATTAAAAATAATTATTTTAAAATAAAAAGGGAATTAAAAAAATAAGACCCATTTAATTGTCTAATTTGTGTATCCCAAATCCCAATAAACTATTTTGGTTTTACACACCCCACCTCCTTATATTTGTTTGCGATTTAGTAAAACGGAATTATTTTTTGTTCTTCGAAAGAGCGCAATTACTTTATACTATTTTTATGGAAAGGGGGCGAGGTAACGTGTTTGGCAGGTTTGAGTAGAATGTGGTGCTTCTCACTAGAGCAGGTTCCACTTCCCCTACAGT